CGCGTCATAGATTTCCTATGTTCGGCGTTCTTTATTAAATTCAAATATGGTTCTTTTCCCCATCGTTGTTTGATATTATTCAAAAATTCTAATTTCCCTTTATTATCATTGACAGTTTTTTCCCAATATTTTATATATCTTTTTTCAAGGATTTTCTTAATATCAAGCGGTTTACTTTTAATGTAATTTTTATCTTGTGGTTGAACATATGCCATTATTTTATCAATGTCATAGTACCATGATGGTTGATTATGAACTTTTGATAGTTCAATACTATCTGCATATGCATTAATTAGTAATGAACTCGTTCCTTCATTTTCTATATGATCTAAGTATTTAACTTGTTGGTAAAATATATTGATAAACAGAGGGAATCTACCTAACTCACCCATCGTAGCTAAATTACTCGTTTTTCTATGCACCCCTAATAGAAACTTCAAAAAAGATAGATGTAGTAATTCCGGTGGAAGTGACTTGTCATATTTCATTTCAAGGCCAAAATCTTTATTTTTCAGAAGATCTTTATTAGTTATTAGACCAGTACCCCAGATTTCACATCCATATAATAAAATTGGTTTTACTAATATGTCAAATAATTTCAGGCACAAAGTTAGGTTAATATCACCATGTGTAAGCATACTTATCAATTTGAATTTCGCCTTTTCTGCTTTTTCTTTAATAAAGATTGCAGCTTGTTTCATCGATCCGTTGGCATGGAATTCCATACCCAAATAAGTATACTTTGATACGTTTTCAATTACCTGGTCCCCAATGTAGAATATATCATTACATCGTTTACCACTTTTATTAAACATTACAATTTTAGTTTTATCAGTATTGATATCTAAGTTCCATTGTTTACAATAATTGTTTAATTTTTTCAATTTTATGTCCATATCAGTTTTATTTGCAGTAATTATGGCTAAATCATCTGCAAATAGCAGGCAACTTATTTTTTGTTTTTGTAATTTTAAGTCTGATTCAAGTGTTAATTCTTCAACAACACCATTGATGTAAATATTAAACATTAATGGACTGAGTGGGTCCCCCTGTTTAACCCCCCTCTCACATTTAAAGATATCAATATGGTCACCGTTACTGTTAATTCTAACTGATGCCATTGAATTATTATACATGTGTTTTACCATGTGATAAAAATGACCTCGAATTCCTGCTTGGAGAAGTTTGAGATACAGTCCCTTATGCCATATCGTGTCGAATGCTTTTCTTAGATCTACAAAGCAAATATACATTTTCTTTTTCTCAAAGTGTATAAATCTGTCAATTAGCGTACGAATAATAAACATATGGTCTGTGGTTCGTGACTTTTTCTTGAAGCCAATTTGGTTTTCCTGTAACATTTGATTTTCTTGAACATAGTTATATAAACGATTATTCATTATTATGGAGAACAATTTTGACAAGCAGTCTGATATAAATAGTCCACGATAATTTCCAGGATCACTTGAATTACCCTTCTTGAAAACAGTTATTATTGATGATACATTCCACTCTTTTGGGAAGAGTGTATTTGAAAACATAGTATTAAACATCTTTAAAATAATATTCCCTATCACAGGGTATGATGTTTTTATCATTTCATAACTGACACCATTATGGCCAGTCGCCTTTTTATTTTTCAGGCCTTTCACTGCTTGCCAAAGCTCTTCATCCGTTATTTTATAATCTAAATTATCAAATGTTTTATCATTTTCCAAAGCCTTTATTTTCTCATCCATAGTCGTGTCATTTGATTTATCTGTAAAAAGCTTGGAATAGTGATCATACCAGCCCCGAGGTGATATATCATTTCCGTCACTACCCTTTTCATTATTTCTCATTTTGTCCAATAGTTCCCAATATTCTTTAGGGTCTGTTTCATACAGATTTTCTAACCTATTTAGCAGTTCTTTTTTATATTCTTTCTGTTTACCTTTACAACACTTTCTATAATGCTTTAAATATTTGAAATAATTGTGTCTAACACAGCTATCATTGGGATTTTTCGTCAGTATCTGACCAAGGGATTTAACTTTCTTTCTTAATTTAACACAGTCATTGTCATACCATTTATTTGATTTTATTTGTTTCCTCTTACCTGACATCTTTTTCTTTTTCAGTGTAAGTTTGGCTGCATTTATAAATATACTTTCAATTTGAGTATTTATAGAATCTATGTTTAAATTATGTAAATTTTCAAGATCTTTCGTAATTTGGTTAATTAACCCAATATTAGTTTGACTTGTTAATGCATCTGCGAAATTTTTAGTTTGTGTTGGGTCCCATTTAAATTTACTAGCAGAAATCCGTTTGATAACTCTGTCATCACTACCACTAATTTCCTGCTTCAACTTTGTTACTTTATTTACCCTCAAAAGCAGTGATATCATGCAATGATCAGTAGTTCAAATCTGACTTTAGATTTGACCTTTGAGTTTATATACTCTGAACTATTAATCTCCTTTAAATTGCACAATTGAGAATTTCACTCCTCACCTTAAGATTTGACATTTGACCTTCAATGACCTTCTCAAAGTCAAAAAAGGTCAAAAAGGTCTTTTTTCAACTTGCTTCAAATTGACTAAAATTTTTTTCAAAATCATCTACATGTTCTCAGAAATTCAAATCTGACTTTAGATTTGACAACATTTGACCTTCAATGACCTTCTCAAAGTCAAAAAAGGTCAAAAAGGTCTTTTTTCAACTTGCTTCAAATTGACTAAATTTTTTTCAAAATCATCTACATGTTCTCAGAAATTCAAATCTGACTTTAGATTTGACATTTGACCTTCAATGACCTTCTCAATGTCAAAAAAAGGTCAAAAAGGTATTTTTTCATCTTGCTTCAAATTGACTAAATTTTTTTTTCAAAATCATCTACATGTCCTCAGAAATTCAAATATGACTTTAGATTTGACTTTAGATTTGACATTTGACCTTCAATGACCTTCTCAAGGTCAAAAAAGGTCAAAAAGGTCTTTTTTCAACTTGCTTCAAATTGTCTAATTTTTTTTTTCAAAATCATCTACATGTTCTCAGAAATTCAAATCTGACTTTAGATTTGACATTTGACCTTTAATGACCTTCTCAAGGTCAAAAAAGGTCAAAAAGGTCTGTTTTCAACTTGCTTCAAATTGACCAAATTTTTTTTTCAAAATCATCTACATCTTTTCAGAAGTTCAAATTTGACTTTACAAGTTCTCAGAAGTTCAAATCTGACTTTAGATTTGACCTTTGACCTTCAATGACCTTCTCAAGGTCAAAAAGGTCTTTTTCAACTTGCTTCAAATTGACTGAAAAAAATTTTCAAAATCATCTACGTGTTCTCAGAAGTTCAAATCTGACTTTAGATTTGACTTAAGATTTGACATTTGACCTTCAATGACCTAACTAGGTGGTGACATTTTGTCATGTTAATGCCTTGTTTTGTTTATTTTTGGTGGAATTTTGAATGAGATTATTGGGTATTTTATGTTTTCTTTATCTTTTTAGGAGAATGAATATTTTTGTATAATGATATAAATATTCTAGCAGTTTTTCACTATTTATCAAATTGATTATCTGTTGTATAACACGATGTCCGATTTGGAGCTCTAAACTGGCCACTTGATTTAATGCTTTTTACGCTCGGCGTAATTGATAGATAGCGCTGTTTTTAAAAAAATCGATAATGCACCGCACGGAAATAAACCCCATTAGGATTGTTGACTACATAATTAGGACGCCATCTTGTTTTTAGCACCTAGCGTGATAGGCAAATTTAACCTCTTGATCTTATATAAAATTGTTAAAGTCCCCGTCTAAAGTTTGAAAATATTTTTTTATCATTCATTTACTATTTGTCAGGACTTAAAAAGTGATTTTAGAGATTTTTGAACAAAAAATTTTTTTCAAAAAAAGTTGAAATTTCTAAGTCATCAAATATTTCTTAATGCATTTCAAAAAAATTATATTTGTAACACCAATGCAAAGATTGAACAAAAGACACACTATTTCAATAATAAAATGTCATATTTAATGGGCCACTTCAATGTTTTAGCTTATCAAAAATATTTTGAAACATTAGTGATGTCACTAAGGTAACAAAAACTTTTTGAAAAAAATTGAATTTTTTTTTTCGATGTCAATCTTTTCTAAATATGCTAGACTTTCATAAAAAAACAATGTTGATTGTCTAACCAGGTTAAAAGGAAGAATACATTATGTTTTAGATATCATTGTACCATTGGTTTCTATGAGAACTAAAATTTTGAAATGCATTTTTCTCAGAACCATTTTCATGCACTGATAAGTTCATTTCTCGCTTGTTTATCAACCGATTTTCTTAATTTTTTCGGCAAAAAACATGGGAGGATGTATGCTATGCATTGGTATGAATTGTGGCCAATTAGAAGATATGAATGACCTCTAAAATTTGGTTTTAAATAAATTCACAAATTTTGGAACAAAAAGTCTATCAAAAACCACTTTTTGAAATTAAAAAAAAAAGTTTCACATATCACACTTTGATAACATTGGGTAAGACTACAATATAAGCCAAAGTGGTTAAAACTTTACATGGGGCCTTTAAGTGAGATAAATTGACAAAGTTGATTTTTCGATGAATCAAACATGGAAAACAATTTCTGTGAATTTAATTTTTTAAATAAAACTATAAATTCCTCAGAAGAACATCATAAAGGCGACGTATTACCCGCGTAATTCTACCTTATCTTACAAATGGTGTAACTTGAGAACGAAATGACGCCAGGAAAAACGGTAAAAAGCACAACAAACCTGGAAAAAAGTTGAATTATGTTCAGAAATTTTGCAAACGAAAGTTCCTCTACGTCAGAATAATCACCGTTCTTACGGGGGCTAAATTCTTGAAAATATCAGAAAATATGTTACGGCGACATCTATAAAATAGTATAAAAACATTGTAAATTCTTTGCTAATTCTTTTAAGAATAATATGGAGAATTTAATATTTCTACTTAATATAACCATTTGTGATTCCAGGTACGTTGTAAAGTTGACCATGGTGAGTTTGAAACTCAGGAAGGAAGTATAGTTCTCTTGAAGAAAAACAGTCAACATTTCTTGTTGAGATCTGAATGCGAACATTTAATACGACAAGGAATATTGGAGCATATTGTACATTGATCCATGAGTCCTGCTCGTCCATGTGTAAATAAATTGATTGTATATATGATGAGTCTGCAGATGCATCGTCAGAATATTTGCGACATCTTTCTGTGTTTTAAAGCTACCTGGGATTGGAATAAAATATCTCTGGAGTCATTAGAAATGACATGAATGATGTGAATGCCATCTTTTAAATAGTTGTCAAACTTTATGCATAAAAGAGATTTCTTAACAAGGATGTAAAATTTAAATCAGCAGTTCAGTGAAAGTCAGAAAGATACTTTACAGTGACATCTTTCTGAATCAATAGATGTGAAAATCATATGTGGACAGCATTAACCTAAATAGCCGGAAATCGAATTTGGAGTTAACTTGAAAAGTTAAAACCATGACGGTTAAATAAAAAATTAAAAGATGCTAAAAATGATCGTTTCATCTTTAATGTATAGTGTAAATAAAAACAGAAGAATAAAATGAGCATAGCCATCCTCATGAAAGGTGCGCATGTAAAGAAACAATCAAGAGTGCCATCTATAGTGAGTATGCAGTAGTTAAAGAAATGTTTTGATTTGTTAAATGTTTTGTGTTTAGTTGCTTTTAAAAATCATTAGTTAAGGCAAAAGTTTCATCAATTTTGCATGTGTTACAGTATTTACAAGTATTATTTAAAACTCCAAAATATTGTTTCCTTAACACTGGACAGATTGTGGATTATATAAATGTTGGATCACTAGTAGCAGTGACTTCTCGTAATGCTTCATTGAGCGTATTAAATAGGTCAAATACATGAGGCTTTTTAAAGATTGTACCAAGTACAGTTAAACCTATAGTGAACATATTTTGCCAAGACAAAATGTTCAATGTGAACCCCTGTTTATTGATGGAAGCTAAAGCTAGTTGATGCCAGCAATCTGGAATGTGCCTAGACATTTTAGAAGTTTCCAAAGATTACATTAAAACAAGATACTATGAAATTTAAAGAAAATATCCTGGATGATATCCAAAACTGCTTGAGTAACTTCCCCATTTAATATCAACTTGACAATCTGAATTGTTGTCTGCAAATACTCTCCATATATTTGCTAGATTTATTACAGGTACATATCTCAAATGCAATGTGTTATTATTTTTCAAATTAGCCTCAATCTTATGAGAGGGGGCATGTTAAACATATATTCAACTTTGATTAGCCAAACTCCTAGTCCTACTCGTATATTTTTTTCTTTATTCTTATAATAACTTTGTCTGAGTTATGGAGAACTTTGTGAACTTTATATCGTTGAGATTTTTGAAGTACTATATACATGTATCTTAGTATAGAAGTAAGTAAAAGCATATTTTATGGAGCTTTCACACTAGATAATGTGGGCTCACCATTCTCCAATGTGTGAAAACAAAAAGTTCTTCAGCAAGATATCCCCATCAAACCAAATAAAATGATTAACTATTGAATTAGTACCCAAAATTAGCCACTTGGCATCAAATGCTGGTGAGCCCATATGGCTAATGTGACAGCTACTTTAGAGAACTTGATTAAGTATCATTATGATCCTCATGGGTTCTTATCCTCCTATGAGGTCCTCAAGAAATAAACTGGAAAAATCCATTGGAGACAATGATTTTACATATTCACATTTTTCAAAACAGTGTAACTTAACCCCTCCCTTATGTACAATTTTGTCTCCCTTGAATTTTATGCCATATATTGTTAAAGTCATTGCTTAAATCATCAAGCTCAACGAGGGATATAAAAAACTTCACAAACTGAAAATGCTCAAGAATGAGATCCCAAACTTTGAAGTGTTGATTAATAAATATTTATTTAACATTCAAAGCGATTTCAAATTTTGACCCAGTTAATATTCAAGATAATATAAGCTAGGCTTTAGTTAATGATCTGTATAATAGTATATGCAAGCAAATTCCATTTTTACTTATGATCATTGTGGGTAGAGGGGGAGAAGGTGGACTGTGATGTGTTTTTCAGAACAAAGCTGCAGACCAATTTCATACAGGGGTCTAAAGATTCAGAGGTGGAAATTAGAACCTAGAACCGATTTATACATTTTCCCTATTTATTAAGTGTAGGGGATGGAATATAGGTCGGTCAAGAATTACTGGCACAGTGATGTCAGATACATATTCAATGCAAGAATGTTACCCTTTTTATTAGTGTCAAATGTTTCTTTGCATTTAGGGCATCTTGCCCTCAACAAAGTGCCCTTAAAAAGACTTATATGGGAGTCAACACAGCACTTTGGGCATCTGTATTTTGCAAGCTTTAGCCCTTTAAGAGTGGACACTATCTCTCTGGCTTTCTTTGGTCCAGATAGTTTATATGCATCCTTTTCCGATTCTGTGAGGTCATCCTCTTCCCAGTAGACATCAATAAACTCCAGACCTAGTACATTTGCGTCCCGTATTTTAAAGAAACCACCTTCTGCCCAATCCCGTCCCCAAGAGTTCATTAGGCGTAGACCTTTACTGTCATAACTTGTCAGCACCACAGCATGTCCTGTTATTTGAGCGTTTTGCTCCCTGCTTATCTCCAAATCTTTTCTGCTGAGAATACCATTTGGATGGTTTTCATAAAACTCCTTGAACCGCGTCCATTTGTCTGCAGTTAAACGGAACCTGGCAACCACTGGTCGTTTCTCACTTATGGCCTCTATAGCACCTTTCAAGTCCACTTTCTTGCACCTCAGTCTGTATTGCTGACACATATTGACTCATCTGTCATGAAACAGGAAATCCTCTTTTTTACCCCAAACACGGACTCTAGGTGCGCCATGTTTCTCAAGTATTGTAAGAATTTCCTCAATCATCTCTCTTTTAGTTAGTTTTTTAACTAATGGTGTTACCGCTTCATTGAGTGTATTAAGTATGTCAAATGTATGAGGCTTTTCACGAGCTCCAACCCCTAATGCAAATATAAAATTTGAGGATGAAACGTCATGCTTTATTCAGCATATTGAATATAGAATAAGACCAATGGCTACTCTCTCTCATTCTTGGCTTGCCTCCGATAGTCAACCGCATTGTACTTGAAACATCAATGAGGAATCCAATAAGGACCGACATGATATCTATCCGTATTTTGAGGTCTAAAAAATTAAAGGGTATTAAATCTTTTTATTAGATCTTTTTAACTTATTGGAATTATGCTTTTTATTTATCGCCCTTTAAATAGGAGATATGGGTATTCAGTCTCTAAAATATACTTTAAGGGACATTCCTTGTCAGACTATTTCGCTCCTGATATGGTTGCTATAATTATGTCACCACCAAAAAGTGGTGACATATTGTTATGGTCTCCATTTTTTGTGACGGCGGTTGGCGATTGATGTCAACTCATAGCCGTAGGGATTGGGGGTTCGATTGGTTCGAATGAACCCTCGGTCAGGATTTCCCAAAAAATATTTTTGCGCAAAATTCAGAGCGATAACCAAAAACATTTTACTGTGCAATTTGATAATTTTATACCAGTGAACGAATTTGAACATATTTGTTATGGTGAACACCAGAGTCCTATAGTTAGGAAAAAAGAGTAAAGTTACACTTCTCTCCAAAAGTTTGGCAACCTTAGGCACGGGTTGGGATCATCTAATTTGACAAAAATTAGGACTTTGTCATTTTCAGGGAACTTACTCATGTATAAAGTCAATCATCATTGGCCGCACAAATTAAAACTGCTATTCGTATTGAGTCATATTTACATTCATTTTATGCATATCCATAACGCCTGTTTGACCTTTCATCGCCATTCATCATCGCCCGGTTTCCGAGAAATTGCCAATTTTGAAGTCAAAATGTCAAATTTTCTGTAAACATCAGACACTTTGTTGAAGTAGAACTTTCAAATAAGTGGTAGTAGTTGCTTTATGTGCAACATATGTCCTCTGAAGATTTCAAAGCTCTGGGAATTACAGTTTTTGGTGTTTACTCTATAGAATTTGACAAAAAGCAGGACTTAAGGGAGTCATTTTCAGGAAACTTTCACATGTATATCGTCAATGGCAGGTTGTGATTACCGTAATTGAAATGCACCTGTCAATGCAATTTTGATATGGGACATTGACTGAAAGTAGACCTGTCAGTATAGACTGTTGTAGACCGCCAGGGTTCACTGTATTCAAAATTCGGCAGGGTCCTTAGGCTGAACCCTCAGATATCAATATGTTCCCATACCAATCTGTCAATTTCAATGTGTTCTCATACCAACAAAAATAACGCCAAAAGCCATACCAAATGTCCAAATATAAAACAAATGCCATACCAAATATAGGACCAATGCCATACCACAGGGCAAAAAAACAATATTCAAATCTTCTAGGTATGTTAGTCTCAATTCAAACTGAAGAAAACCTGACAAGAAGGTAGATCTTTGAGAAAAATGATTCAAACAACCTCAAATTAAAGATATGTGTAACTACTAGACCAACGCCATACCACAAGTGTGAGGCCACATATTTCCAATACCAGATACATGTAGTTGAAAATCCACCCATTGCCATATCTCAAGGCTTAATTTCGGGGTCATTATCATTCCAGATCCTAAATTTTGGGTCCATTGCCATACCAAATGTCAAAAAAGATATCCCATGTGCACTGAGGATCCCCGTCAAGGTTTATATATAGTAAACCCCTTGGAGTAGGCCTGTCAGTATAGAAACCATAGGCTGGGTTGTTAATTCAGTACATTATTTATGATAAATGAGGCGTATAGCATTTTTTATTTTTTTGTAAAGCCACTCAATAAAATTACGATTTCTCTGCAACCTTATGTCCAATCAAGATTATTCAAGTATCTATGTGTTCCTGACACGTTTTGGCGTCCGGGAATAACAACGTCTACCCAAAGTTTGCACGCGAAATTGATGTAATTCATGACTGAAATCGGGAAGACAAAATTTGATATTCACAAACAAAATTGCTTGTGAAAACTATTTATAAAAGTGTTCCAGAGACTCTAATAGATCTACTTGGCTAAAGTTTTATTTGAAGATACATTGCCTTATTAAGTAGGTAGAGGGGCATACAGAACACGGAAGCAAATGCTATGTCGAAAATTTTCTATATTTCAGTTTGAACATGTTATTATATGTAGGCCAGTGTTTTATATTGGGATTAAATGTACTTTACTTGTTTACATGAACGTAAATCATTACATGAAATCTGCAGTCTTCCAGGTTTTTTCATTGGGTAGATGTTGTCATTACCGGATGCCCAAACGTGTAAGGGAGATATATACTCAAATGATGTTGATTGGACATCAGGGTGCAGAGAAATTGTAATTTTACTGAGTGGCTTCACGAAAAAATAAGCAGCACTTTATGCCACCTTAAGGTTCAGCTGGAAAGTAACATTTTGGTAAAAAATTGCTATACCTGCACATGTTATTTTCTGGTACAGAATTAAGTATGAAGGCATGTGTGTATTTCCTTGCTTTTTTCAGAAAGTATCATTACACTGTCTACTTTTAGTAAACCTGGAAACAGGTCAATGGTAGCTCCTGTGTTGTCTGGAAACTTTGAAAGAAAATTTGGAAAAACAGGAAGTGTGAAATATCAGAATTCCCTGGAGTTCCCTTTGAACGCCTACCAGATATTCTA